ATATTGGTATACAGAAGGATCCACTCAGAAAATATATAGATTTGGGGAGTATCATTATAATTATCATTACACACCATTTATAGATGTCTCGGGAAGATTTACATATACATGGAAAGATATTACTATCACACCAAGTGAAACTATTATATTCAATATTTTAATTTCTCTCTATTCTGTAGAAATTCTCCACCCTCCTGTTATTACTAATATTTCAATTCCAAACATTTTCAATACAGGATCTAAAATATTTAATGTTGCTATGAATGTTACAGATGTTGATAAAAATTCAAATTATTCAATCTTTTATTGCTTTGATAATTGTGTTTCAAAAAATGAAACAAAAGCATATCAATCAAATGGTTGGATAACAGAAAAGATAGTGATCCCATTTAACGAAGGAAATCATTCAATATCAATCTGGGCTAGAGATTATACAGGTCTTTCTTCTCAAGTATTTACAGGAAACTTCATTGTGGTAAACAATTCTCAAACGAAAGATTGGGGTAACTTGAATCTGCATAAATCAATGCTTAGAGTTAAACGCAGAAAGTAATTTTGATACGTTGCATTTTTATTGAGCTCCTTTATCAATAAAATTTCCAGACATGAATATGAACATTATTACAGATTGTCGTCCCAATATATAAAGTAAACACTGTTTTAATTCTCAATTTGAATTCGTCTCCAGTATCATCAGCACATACTCTCTTCTCAAAGCTCAAATCGAAATTTTAATTATTGAATTCAGAAATATAAAGATATGAAATTTACATAAATGGGATCTTCTATTTTTGATTCTGATAAAAATCCCAACATTATGCATTTTTTTCTCATTGATTCAAATATTCAAAATAGCTAGCACTATATGCATATTTGTTTCATATATTATAAATTGTTTATTTTTTCATATTTTTCAAAAAAATTTTAAATGCCAACTAAAATATCGAAATAAATTACTAAAATAAATTTGTAAAATGGTGATTACTTATGGGAAAGCAAGCTGTTTCAAAATATATTTGCCGATTTTTTTTTGATAAATTTTGACATGCGAAATTCTAAAAAAATATTTGCATTGATGCTTGATGAATATGCTCTTTTTGGCAGTTATTTACAAGGATATTGATCCAAGCTGCTATTCAGCCGATGGTAAAAACCTTACTAGTGTTAACGATACTTCTTCATATCTTAGAATTTCAGCAAAATGTGAAATAGTAGAATATAGTTGTTTCTATGGACTAAAGTCGTTAATTTCATTTACTTTTGAAGAAAAACCTAATTTAACATTAATTGGTCCAAATGGTTTTGGTTTTTGCGATCACCTTACAAAAATTGATTTATCTTTTTGTCATAAATTGAAAATCATATCAGCATATGCGTTTTATTTTTGTGATGCAGTTGAAGAGATTCTTTTACCAGAAGGACTTTTAGAAATTCATGGAATTGCTTTTGGATTTATTGATAAAGTAAAGTGTATAACAATTCCAGCTTCTGTGAAAATAATTCAAGATTCTGCATTTAGTGAATTCACTAGTCTTCAAAGTATTACATTCGCAGAAGGTTCAGAATTAACTTATTTAGATAACATTTTTAGCGGTTCTTTTTTAATAACTTCATTTGAAATTCCGGAAAATGTTACAAAAGTCAACGGAAATGTTTTCTTTGGTACAGCGGTTAAAAATATTTCAATTCATCATAAAAACAAATATTTAATTCTCGTGGATGATACTATTTATTCTTCAAACAAAAGTATTTTATTTTGCTCATTTAAATATTCATCTGGAGAATATGAAATTCCAAATGATGTTATAACTTTAGGAGAAAGATGTTTTTATGGGTTAACCCTGAATAATATAATAATCCCAGAAAACGTGAAAAGAATCGAAGAATATGCTTTTGCACTTTGTTACGATTTAAATTCTGTAACAATTAAAGGAATTTTAGAATATATTGGCGATAAAATTTTTTATGATTGCTTTAATATGGAAACTATTTATTTCACTCTGTATAGTTGTCCATTCAGCGAAACTAACACCCGCATTCGCTAAGCTGAAAATGAAATTCAGTGGATCGAACTTAATTCCACCTTCTTTTTCAATTTCAACGAACTCACTAACATGAGATTTTAAGTATTCTTTCGTTAAAATTGTTTTCCCCGATGTTATGTCATTAACGAAACTATCACCGTCAAAAGTTAACGAATTCAATTTCGTCGTTGATGCTTTTATTTCATACACCGCTTTATTGATAGTTTTTGGCTCACCTTCTTTAGAAGCATATGAAACATTAATGAATGAATTATATGTATTCGTGAATGAATTAAAATCAATGATTTTCATTAATGACGCCTTTAATGATTCATTTACTGTCGAATCCCTTAAAGTAATTAATGAACTGTCATTTATGAAAGGTACACTGCAAATCGTCGAGTTTGGATCAAATGCTGTAGTTGGTGCAGGAATATTAATGATATAAGTCATTAAATCATTAAGTGACGTAAATAATGTTGTTGTTTTTGATTTAATTTCTTTAGCATCTGTTATATACGGTAATTTTATTTCTGTAGTTTCTGAATTAAAGATATTCGCTAAAATGTTTTGTAAACTGTTTTGAACAGTGTAAACCGTTGAATCCGGAACTCTTACGATTTCACCGTCCTTAATAAAAGGCATTGCACATGGTGTAGTGCTTGGGTCAAATCTTTCGGGATTATAATTCAACATATATTCTAACGCTTCATATACAGACTTATATACTGTTGTGTCGTTCTTCATGACAACTTCACCATTTACAATGAATGGCATAGTACATGGAGTTAAAATAGGGTCAAACTTTTCATAGTCCTTCCATGTTATGTATTTCTCGGTATTTCCATCAGAAATAACAATATATTTGTCAGTAAGTGTGAGAGAGTATTGACCAAAATATAAACGTTTAGCTCTGTCAGCTTCATACGCATATGCAGCAATAGTCATATTTTAATGAGAATAAAATGTTGTTCTATTTGCAAAGTACAGACCCAAACGAATACGGGACAGTAAAGCTACAAACAAACTTAGGTCTTCAGAATGAGCCACTTGCATTCAGAATGGTTGACTTTAATACTATTGCTTCATTCGTTATAACTGACGAAACAGATTTCATGGAGCTTGAAATAGATGGAAAGAAGCACGAAATAAGATTTCACAATAATGTAGAATATAAGATGGAAACATTAGCTGGAGTGTTAAATGCTCTCATAAATACTACAATAAACAAGGATAACGAAGAAAACTTAATGAATGTTAAACTTATTGCAGGAGTTTTGAAGTTCAGTTATGCGAAGGAGTTTAAGATACCAAGAATGAGTCATAGAGTACAACTTCTTTTGGGAGCATACCATATGACATTTCCTTTGAAAAGTGTTGACAAAACGATTGAGATGAAATCTGTTCCATACATATGTTATGGTAATTGTTTGTACATTGAGTCAAAAATAGCTAATGTCACAGGTATTTCAGGAGTTAATAGTAAAGGTTCAGTAGAATAGAAATCCTTCTGTTATGCAGTCAATTCAATGTTCATTCCAAACGTTCCTGTCATAGCAACTCATTTAGGTAAATGGGTTCGCATTAGTCCTCATAATTTGAAAGACATGCAATTCAGACTTGTTGACTTTCAAGGAGAGCCTGTAGAACTGAAGGCACCAGTGCGAATGACTGTTGAAGTTGACTTTTTAGAAAATATTAAATGCAACAGCTTACAAGAGAACTCAGAGCTAAAAATATAAAGTATGAATGTTATGTATTAGGTCATGAACTTTGGTTGTTGCTGTTTGATGAAACAAATGAGTTAGTTATGTCAGTCAAGAGAACAGAAAAATATTGTGTTAGTGAAAACTGCACCAAGTCAATAAGATTAGGTTTGCATTATGAAGATGAGTTCGATACTGTTGAAGAAGTTTTGGATAGATACTATAAGTTGCTTTAATTTACTAAAACATATTTCAAACAAAGCTTATAGTAAGTAGATAGTTTTGTATACTCGTTCGAATATTTATACTTAAACTCAACTCCTGTAGTTCCTGGTGTTTCAATGATGCGGATGTTACCTATTTTCATGAATATTGGCGTTTGACCACAGCATTCGATTTCAGGGTCGAGATAGTCAATGACACATTGCTTTCCTGTTATTCGTGATATAACATTTTCAAGGTCCTCCTTTGTTAGAATTATTTGGTTCTTACTTATAAGATTTATCAAAAGCTTCTTATCGTCTTTGAGTAAAATTGTTTGGTATAACTGAAGAAGGTAATGGTCTACGTTATCTGAAGGATTTGTTTGAACATTTATGTAAGGGTTGTCGTTGGCTTCTCTTGAAAGAATTTGGTCCAGTGGTGGATACTCTAACTTAACATCTGATGTAGCGTTAGCGTTTGAAGCTGTGTTTAAATTCACGGATTTCAGCTCTGGTTCTTTTTCTTTCAAACACTCCGAACTATAGTTCTTTATGACAATATTGTTTGTCGTTCGTGAGTCAACATTTGATGTTGGTTCAATTGGAACATTAACGGCACCAGCTAAGATGGATTTGCTTCTCATTTCATATAGAATAAAAACCTTTTATATGTATGAAATGAACAATATACTCGACAAGGGTTTGAATGTAAAGCTAACGAATGAAAATATTGTTGAATTCACTGAGACAGGAGCTGTGTATAAAGATGTAGAACTACTGAACAAAAGAGCAAAGGGAAGAAGCAGGAATATGAACAAAGGGTGGAAGCCTATAAAAATTTATGTCAATGATGGCTCAGGAGGTTCAAACATAAAGTATGCAGAAAGTTATAGAGTTTATGCTCTCAAAGGTGAAAAGCCTTCATTTAAGAACAGCTATTCTAACGCATATCCTCAAAAGCTAACGGATGGGGAAGTGGATGATATGAATGACAGCAAAAATATTAACAGAAATGGCGACAGAGATGCATGGAATTTGTTTACCATCAGTCAATTAAAGCATAAGATTTAAAACAATGTTGGTCGTTCCCATGGAATATTTTTGACTTTAATGGTATTAGTCATGATATGAATCTCAAGGTATGAACGAGGAGAGATGAGAGACTTATATGCTTCCCAAATTTCTTCAAAAGGTAATGTTATACCTGACTGTTTCCAAATGAGTTCAATATCATAACGTGAGAAACCTTGAAAGATAACGAAGTCAGTTATGAGACGTTTTATGTTTAAAGCAAGAAAACGCCATGTTTGCATAAGTATTGCTACAGTTAAGTGGTAATGTCTGACTTTAGTTATGATGTTAGCTAATGGTGAGTCAGGCTTTGACACTAAACCTTTACCAGCGAAATCATCACAAACTAATAAAGTGTTTGATGGATATTTTTTGAAGGGGTATTTTGAAAGTTTTGACAGAATGTAGTTTGTAAGTCGTTTCATATCGTAAACTCCTGAGTATTGACGTAAGTGGTGTTTGTCAATAATTCTTTCCATCTCCTCAGAAGTCTTTTGCATTCCTGACTGTATAAATTCAACGATGGCATAATATTTCCTCTTACGTCGAATGTAACGTTGAAGAAATTCAATGAGTTCACTGTCTGGAACTTTAACGACAGAGGCTTGAACTTTTGACATAAATGTTTTCGCTGTTGAGTCCATAGAGTCTGAAGTTGCTGATATAATGATTTGGTCATAGTAAGAGTCGTTTCCTAAACGTTCTGTTATGAGTATATGACGAATGAGGTTGAATGTCTTTCCTGACCCATCTTTCCACAATAGAAATAAACACCATTTGAACAGAACTCATAGTCCTTACTGAAAGGAAGAATGAGAGAAGAGTTAAGTTTGTCTGTAGTTTCATTCATGTCTTCATCTACGTCATGTATTAAATGCTTCATTTTATCTCCATTAAAAATGCAAGTCAGAAATATTCAGAACATAGCACCGAGTCTAACTGACAAGAGTATAAAGATATACTATGAACATGTTATGATGAAACCAACCAAAATTCAAGAAAGTCAGTATACTTATGAATATCCAAGACACTGGGTAGAGTATGTAGGAGGTGAGAAAGCTATTGAAATCAGACAGGTTCGAAGTATTCCAGCAGGAAGAACAATATTATTGAAGAACTTTAATGTTTTGAGATATAATGATGAAACAAAGAAGCAAGATAGTTTCCCTGTTGCTGTGTATGTGAACTTAGATACAGGAGATGACATGAAAGTTTTTAATACAAAGCTTCAAACGGTAGTGAGAGAACAACTGACTGCGGAAGGACATCCATTACCTTCAGAAGTTACCATAGCATATAATTTTGAAACAAACTCAATAGATTTTAAAGTCATCTCTGCAAAGAAGTCAGGATTTACATTTAATGAAGCAGATGTATATTCGAATGAAAACTTCAAAGCTATTGCATGGTTAGATAATGACGATTGCTTTAAGAAAATATTTAAATACAGTGACTCAACAATGTCAATAGATGACCTTCGTGGAATGTTACCATCGACGTTTACAGTAGAAGGTTCAGCAGGATTGCTTACAAGTTTTTCAATTGGTGGTATTTGGTCTCGTGAGAACATTGTTATAAAATCCAGTATAAGTGAATTTGCTGAAGAATCTATATTATGTCTTTCAAACTACATGTATTCGCCGCCGAAGCATTATAGTATAACAAACTTTGTCAGTAAGTTTAACATAAGACTTGTCGAACCTTCTTCAATGAAAGATGTTGTGCTACCTAAAGATGGAAAGGATGGACTCATTATTGAGATGATTTTAATTGCATATTAAATGAGCTTGTTCTTGAAGGTCATTCATGATGAAATAACTGTTGTAGAAGATGTTAGCAATTGTTCAGACATTTTATTGAATAGATGAGATAAGAAAGAAGTTAGATAGACCGCAAAGCGGTGAGGGCGAAGCCCGTGAGAATGTTTATGTTTCATTGACTTTCTCCAGTAACGAGAACTTTTATGAGATAATATTGAAGAGAGATGATTTTAATATGGTGTAAATGGTAGCTTGGGCAGCTTTAGGCGCAATGGGAACAAAAGCATTAGCATTTGGAGCAAAAGCACTTGGAGCTTATGACGCAGTAAATAAAATGAGTGGAGGAAGGGTTTCGAAGACATTAGATGCAAATAAAGGAAGATTGGAGGCTGGGTTGCAAAGAAGTTAAGATTAAATAAAATAGGGCTCATAAATAAAGCATCCAATTTGGTTGCGACTGAGTCAGAAAATGCTTTAGGAAAGGACGATGAGTTTGCAAAACACGCAAAAGACTTTAATGACCAGATGAAAGGTGAAACAATGCATTTAAATAGATTCGATGGAACTAAAGAAAATGTTTCTTCTCCACCAGTAGTTCTTCCGTATGGTCCCTATGGAATGTATGGAAACCCTTACGAAAGACCATTTGACCCATTGACTGGTGGAAGTAACTGGTATCATTACGGCCGAAGAAGAAAGACAGTCAAGTTGGAGACAGACGTGAAGAAAGCAACTAAAAAGAAACCAAGGAAGAGAGTTATAAAGCAATGAATTCAACAGGGTGAAAAAAGAGGTGAAAAAAGAGGTGAATCTCACCACTTCACCTAAATTTATTTTTGTGCTATGTTTTCATACGTGTGAGGGTGGTGATATCATTTATTTTTATATAAATGACAGAACAAAAATAAAGCATATCTACTCAACAGGAATGAGACCCTTACTGACTATGTATTCGTTTAATGCTTGATGAAAACAATGGTACATATTATCGTATGGGTATACACAACGTCTGTTTCCATCGTCGTCGTATATGTAGAGCTCAAATCCAGTCCAACCTTCTTTTGTACAATATGTAGCTTTATTTAAGTATGCATTTATGTAGATAAGGCAATTTTCTTCATCGCTCCAGAAATAATTTTTGTTCTTTGTTGAAATAGTTTTCGTTCCTCTGCGACCATAAGGAATGTATGCAATGAACCTTGCGTCATATGGGATTGTAATATATTCAGGGTTTCTTTCATCGTCAATGGGTCTGTCTTTGTTAAAATGCATGTTCCTCAGTTTTACTTGAGTTTTAAACAGCTCACGGAAACGTTCTGGGAAAGAGTCATAGTAAATGTAGTCAGACATGTCTTTGTAATGAAATAAAAAATTTAAAAAATAAAAATAAGGTTATTTTTATTTAGTGAGGACGGTAGTGAATTCGTTAGTGAATTCGTTAGTGAAGTCGTTAGTGGTTGGTGGCTTTGTAAATATTTAAGGTTAAGTTGGTGTTATGGTTGTGTTGTAAAATATACGTTAACGGTTTTGTAAAGTGTCAGATTGACATATCTTCAGTAAGATGGCGCGCAGTGCCACAGTACTGAAGATAGTCATACTAACTTTGTTCAAGACGTGGTTAAGGCAACGAATGTACACGGTTTGTAAGCCAGGGAAAAGGGCTCCTTCTGGCCTCCAGTGGCAGAGTCCTTTAACCTGGGCTGGCAAACCATCTCCGACTACTCCAGCTACGTGGTTTTTATTAACGTTAAGAGAATCAAACCATGTATGGTAGTCCTCGTATGTCCAATTAGTCGAAATTGTTGTGTCGAAGAATTGGTGGCGATCTGTTTTGCCTGGATTGCACACACAAGAGAATAGACTATGACAGCTGCTGTGTGTTCCGCAGTCCAGGGAAATTGAGAAGATGCGGAATTCCTCGCAGAACTTTAGGCCCCGAGAGGAGTCTGTTTTGCCTAAAGTAATCAATGCCTCTCTGACACCGCGCCGTGTGAACTCAATGTCTGGGATTGTAAAGTTGATGCCCTGTTCGCGATTGACTTTATTTTTAAGCCATTTGGCGAAGCTCTCTAGGAAGCTTTTAAATGCTGGCTTCATTGTGGCATAAAGGCTTATATCTAGGCTCGCAATAAGCCTGGCAATGATCTCTTCTAACGAAGGATCATTACCAGAGCCAACTGCTTGCTGAGTATTCTCAACTTGGTGCTCGCAGGAACGTAGTTGGGCATTGGGAGTAAAAATTTGCACTTATGATCTTTAAAATCATTTTTCCTGCTTTTTTTAATGCATCGCACGAACTGCCCTTGAACTAATGTTTCACTACATTCGGCACAGTATGTAAAGAGCCTTCCTTTGTCTGATTGATTAGGCTCATTCTCATAATAGCCGATCGTAGTGAAACATTTTTTCCACACTTTGTTTCCAATTTTTCAGGAGTTGGTGGATATTTCGTCTTCTTAAATGGAATCCACTCATCATATACATGAGGATCCCATGCAGTCATAATAAAAATAAAGCTTTTTGAATATATTCAATTTTTAAATGATATTTTCACGGGTTAAATATAAAATAAAGAATAAGATGTAAATTATTAAAATATTTAATTTTAAATTTTGAACCTGTGATAAATATTTTTTTGCATTGTTATTAATAATGAAAAATAAAGCTTATTTCAATGAAAATTGTTCTGCAAATTTATTTCACTTTTGACCTCACTTTTTCCGTAATTCAATTTTTTACTTTTAATATTTTAGATCTTCATAATATCATTTGAAAAATTAACCATATAAAAAAATCAAGTTATCAATTCACTTTTTCCGTAATTCAAAAATCAAAAATATAAATAATATATCTTTTTATCAAATATTATTATTATATTCTATGAAAAATGAGGTCCGGAAATTTTGCGGATTCCCGTAACTCAATTTTACGGAAAAAGTGCAGTAAACTATTCAAAATACGGAAAAATTGGTGTAAACTAATGATTTTACGGTAAAATCACGGAAAGTCCCGGAAGAATATATGTGCCTATATGAAATTATACAAAAATGAATCAAACGCATTTTAAAAGATTGTTCTTGTATTATAAATGCTATTCGCAGATTTATTAGTTGAAGAAAATTACCAAATTTTTGCCGATTTACAAAAAATGATTTACAAAGCATATTTTTATAAGGCTTTAAAAATCTTTAAAATGTGACCGGTGACGGAAATCCATGGTAACCAACCGCGGTTCCCGTTTGGAATGCCATAGATTGGCCTAAGTATTTCTTAATAGAATGTGAAATAAAGTAAAATTAACTATATTCAAAATGGAAAAAAATCCAAAAAAATTTTGAAAAAAAGAATTTCATGATAAAAAGCATAAATTTTGCATCAGAAAATTAAATTCAGGTATTTTTTTGAAATAGAAAGAGTCCTAAAATTAGTTAAAAATCATTTTTTATTCAAAAGAAACGCTATTTTTAAGGAATTGAAAAGAATTTTATTTAATAATATTTTATTTATAGAATTTGCATATATCATATGCATAGACATATTGAATTGTAAACCTGAGAACACTAATTACATTAACTTGTCGTTCAAATTATTGCATCGAGAAAAAAGTGCTATAAATTTACTCAATTAGTTTACAAACGTAAATATTTGGCATAAACTTTACGTTTGTAAACTAATTTGGTAAACTCGTAGTTCAAATTATTGCATCGAGAAAAAAAGTGCTATAAATTTACTCAATTAGTTTACAAACGTAAATGTTTGACATAAACTTTACGTTTGTAAACCAATTTGATTAAATTTAGTTAAATTTTAGTTCGAATGCAAGTTTTCTCGGTAAATCATTTTTTAGACCTCAAATGAGA